TTTTAACACTTAATCATCTAAAATACAGTACAAATATTAACAATATCAATATCTTTATTGCATGATAGACTGTTATTAACCATCTTCTATTGTTTATAGAGCATGGTGTCTCCATAGGACATATTTTATTACTTATTTTACTCATCATTAACAGTTCATATTTCAAGGGCAATAACTCTTTGCTCTTATGTGAATGTATTTTAGCACAACCATTGCATGATACAGATTAATATACTATCTTGTATTGTGGCTTCTCTACAGGATATATTTCATCACTAACTTCATCTTACTAACTATTGCAAGGGCAATAACTCAATTTCTCTTATTGGTACACTTGTCGCATTTGAGCACAACCATTGCATGATATAGATTAATATACTAACTTTTATTGTGGCTTCTCTTCAGGATATATCAAGGGCAATAACTCAATTTCCTCTTATAGGTATATGTGTCGCATTTGAGCATTTGCATTGATATCATTGCATGATATAGATGAATTTTTTAACTTTTATTGCTGTTAGAGCATGGCTTCATCGGGTCTCCACTTCATTAATTATTATCAATCGATATATCTTACTCTCTACATGATGTTGCTATACATACATGTCGATATTACTTATCTTTAAAGTTATCCAAGGGCAATAACTCAGTTTCCACGGAAATGAAAACTTGTCATATTCAAACTCATCAAAGATTTCAGATAATTCCAGATAATGACAAAAAAAATGTTAGGAAGTAGACACATCATTTATTTTTAAAAGATTTTATTTGTAAGGAAACAGTTATAGGCTATTAACAATTCAATAATAATTGGTTAGCTTTTCTTTTCAAAAGAATGATTACACAATACTTAAAACCCCTATTCAAATTGTCAACTTAACTCAATGTAAGAAACTCTGTTTAAAAAATAAATATCAGGCCCAGGAGCAATTTTCTGCCATTAAAAAACACAATAGAAATTTCAAGCTGAGATTTTACATGATAATTAAATATCAAAGGTTAACTCCCTTTGTTTCATGTATTTATTATGTCAAATGTGATATTCATTTTTTAATCAGGTTTAAATTTTAACAATGACAAAATCCTACTTTTGTGTAACTTGCTAAAAAATATAAAGTTTATTTAAGTTGGCTAGTGCTTTTTGCAAAATATTGTTGTTAAAAAATGATTGACATACCAAGCTGATATCCTAGGTTCCTTGGAATAAATGAGTGTTCATATTAATTTTTCAAAATTGTCAATATAATCAGATCAACAGCATTGTGAAAATCGCAATATTTTTGATACATCTGTCATATGCATTCATAAACCTTGACATAAAAAAAAACCTTGATATTATGAATAATTTTCACAATTGACAGGTATTACAAATTTACATGATAATATCAGAGATATTGATTTGCACATGCATTGCATGACAGTAACACATTAATACCACAAAGGATATGGTTTTCACATTTCCTCTTCCTACATTGTTTTCAGAATAAACAGGAATCAATATTATATTAAATTGAAATATCATCTGATCCTCAAAATCAAAAAAAAAATCTTTGAGGAATACTTTGTCTGAAAATGAACAAAAATTAAAAATCTAAAACTTGTTCAAAATGAGTCCATATTTATCAGCGGACCTACCTGGTTAATAACTAAACAACAGATCCCTGTATAAGACGATGAATCCATTAAACATTTTTTCAAGAATGACTGTAGTTTTATGGATAGATTGTCTTATACAGGGGGTACTGTCTTTAATCTATGACTCCAGGTCAAATTTAAAAATCCAAATTTTTTATTCATCCTAAGAGGTAGTATTCCTTTAATTCATTCATTCATGATCAGAGAATGCATGTGCATTGCATGACTAGGGACTTGGCGATCAATTTACTGTAATTGGCTCCATAATTAACTATTAATTACTAGATTTACATTTTTTTCTGACAATTATAGATTTTTCAATCAATAATCTACCCAGATTTGTATTTTGTATGATACTATCAAATGCACATGCATTCAGGCATAAACGAATTTTGTATGAATGCGCTGTAAAACTTCCCGTTTCAAGTTCTATTCTTCCTGATCAAAAATAAAATATTAATAATAAATAATTTAATTGTAACCTCAGATATTAACTTTCAATTTATAGAAATAACAAACGCATGTGCATTGATGTAGAAAACGCATGCACATGAAATAAATGTAGACTGTGTAATAAATATAATAGAATATTGATTGATATTTTGTTATTTTAAACATCAAAGGATGTGGAAACAACAGGTACTCTAAAAATCACACACCTGTAAAATTACTGTTATATTAATTTCATATATTATTACTAGTAAAACAGCATACTCTATAATTTAACGGTTAATTCTTTGATAATCAAGCACCTGTAAAATTATTGTTATATTTCATATTAACTTTCAGAAAAACAGCATAAAACAGGTCAAGGGTCTATTTTTCTAGGAGGTTAAAATCCTAATACCATTGAAGCCTTTCATCACAACCCTTTTAGTTAGATTGTAAATAGTAACCACTTATATCAAATAGGCAAAATATTTAGAATACATAACCTATCTATATTTTTAATTTTTTATACAAAATTTCTTCGTTTTTTTTATTTATTTTTTAGTCAAATTTAAAATGAGGCAATTGCCTTGATATAGTTAAGGCCCTGTACAGCTTAATCTAATATTATAGAAAACCTTAGAGATGATCATTTTATGTTATGACAGGAATATTATCAAAGTTCCTGCTTTTGATAGATATTTTTAATTTGTTAAAATATCTTCAACAGCTCTAAAGAATCCAACCAAATTCACAACATTTAATGTTTCCCAATTTTGTGAGCTGTGGAATTTGATATTGAAAATATCCTACAAGTGCAGATTATAATCATCTTCTATCAAAAAAAACATGTTTTCAAAGGACAGTTTTTTTTAACCTTTATGTGGATTTTTTTCTTCATAAGAGGCTTTCCTCTCACACTATTCCAAACAGTGGCTCCAAATGGACTTAACATCCAGCATGATAATCAAATGATTCCATTTGTTGCCACCTTTAATCATACAGCTGCCAAAACCTCATCCATCATCAAACAGTATTACAGTGAATTACAGAACAGATTTCCGAATGTATATACCAAACGACTTGTAATTGCCTATAAGCGCAATAAAAACCTTAGTAATTTTCTGGTGCATGGTAGACTCGATCCCATTGAATCCAATAATACTTGACCCCCCCCTTCTTCACTCTTAACACTATTCTTTCACTTGCCAAAGGTCATTTAATATCAGAATTTATGAAAAGAGTTTGGAGATACTCTCTTATAGAAGCACTGGTCTAGGTCACAAGTAGAGACTATGGAATACATCAATTCTTCTGGAGAGACTTACAAGATTAACAAATAATTCAATGTCTTCATCAAAGCATTTTGAACGGGGAAAATAGTTTTGTGTTTATAATAAATACTCATCCAAATCTGAAGTAAAATGTTCTATCGAAGGTAACATACTTCAGTTAATCAAATTTAAAGGGACAGATGGATTAAGAGGTCAAAATATTATGATCTTAGCTTTGATACTTTATAAAAATCCTAAAATAATTCATTTTTTTATGTGCCACCCAATATAAGCCATGTAACCAGTCTATTTAAATGAACTCCATTTCAATGCTGTCTAGCACTCTTCTGCCTTATTTACCATCTCGCTTGTTCAAGAACTATAATTTGGCTGTTTGCTTTAGGCTATTCAAACAAAACAAATTTTTTCTATGAATGTAAACTTCTCAAGTCAGTACCTTCCATTCAGACTAGTTCACTTCTCCACAATACTGTCTGAAGTATCGAAAGAAATGAATGGCGAATTGGTCATTGGAAAGTAACATACAGTCAAATAATTCCAATACCAAATTATAGTTCTATTTAGTACAGTTAGTATTGAAAAGAAATGAAAGGTTCTCTACAATTTATAAGATAGAGGATGTTGCAAGCACCTGAGCTACAGGATTATGACTGTAACTGAAGTACGTGGCCCTTTACCATAATCATTATTACATGACAATCACTGCCGACCATTCTGTATCAAACACCTTCTTCTACGTGAAGGGTGGACTTTGGAGCTTGAAACAGTCCAAATGTCGACTGTCTATTTTGATCAGCTTATAACACATGCCATTAAGTTCCCTTTTGCTGCTCTTGTTTGTTTCTGTGACTTGTGTGTATTTTTGCACATGTGTATTCTCACCATAGAACAGGTGCTTTATAGAAATGTAGGATAAATTATTACCCTCTGGGTGAGCCCCGAACACAAAATATCAAGTATATAGAACTAAAAATAAACACCTCTAATAAAAAGTAAAATCTTATCTTTTTCCACCACCAAATGTAAAATTTCAGACTTCATTGAGATTTGTTTGAAGAGAAAACTGAAAAAATGTCAGCCATGTTGTTATAGTACTAAATTTGCCTCAAGACATATTTTCTCACAGATGCGTGTTCTCAAGTGTGTGCATGTGTATTTATAGTATGTGTGTGATCAGTTTGTCAGAATGAAGATAAAAAACATGTTGGAATTGGCAGCAACCTCACAGGAAGCATCAAGCTTAATTTCTTCTAATATCCTGCATTTTAATGATAGCACCAATATAAGCTGGAAGCATAATGTTAGAAGCACACAGGTACTCCTGTTTTATATCATCTTAATTCCTAACTGTCAGACAGAGCTAATGTGGAGAAACAAAGATGCAGAATCTCAAGGTACTACTACTTGTTCATTCCAACGACAGGAACAAGCTTGACTTCATGCTGTCCAACAATAAGAGTAAGCAAGTCATCCCCTATTGATGAACTGGGGTGAAACATATTTCCTCCCCTCTAACCCTTGCCCATAGTGATTACACAAATAAGGGGGAAAACTGAAGATTCTGGGATCTAACCCCTCTAAGCTCTATGAAGCAAACAATTCCACTCCCTGTAAGTGCTGAATAAAAATAGTTTGGCTTACCATTTGAGCTGAATTCTTTGGCTTCAGTTTTATATCTTTAATCTTGTCATTCGCTGAAAAAAAAATATTGTACATCATTAAAATGAATAAAATAAAACCCATTTAAAATCTCTTTAATAAGATATATGTCTGACAGGTTATTTTCATGCTGTCATGCAATGTTAAGTAAATAGATATATACATGATATATCATTTGTACCTTGTAACCTGTATCAAATATTGATGGAATGTCTCTATTTCCCTGAGGTACTTGTAGCATGTCATATAAACCTTTAATACACTTGATTAACTATACTTTCTGAAAATTTTATCTTATTGTCCTTTTTGTAAGCTTTTAAATGTGGCAGAAAACAAGTTTTAAAAATCTATATACTTATGATATGTAATAATTCTGATCTACTTTTTGCATGCAAGAGAAGCTCTATTTCCCCATAATTAATACACATATCAAAAATGTTACTTTATTACCCTTGTTGAGCCCTCTTAAAGGCTAGAAGGTGTAAAAATTCAGAAGGTACTGAATAATCTGACATCTGATCGGGTATCAGATATTCTTCTCTTTTGGCAATCCCAAAAGGCCCAAAGGTTGCAAAAAGCTGTAAAAGATGGCAATCATGGAAGAAAAAACAGGTGAAATCATATATCACTGGAATCAAATATTGTTGTAGCTTTGACCACATGTCCAACTTGCTCTGACTCAACCATACTTCCTTAGCCAAAGCATGAAGGTCTACCAGAAGACTTGTTCTGATTCATCTATAATCTAGTATTGTTCATCAAAGCCTGTAGGTCTACAAACTACTGGAAGATCATGATAAAAAACAGGAAGAAGAAGTTAATGAATAAATAATGATTGTTCGATTTGTGCCAGGGATATTTTACTCTTCGTCACATTAATAACAGTTAACTGTGTAATTAAATATAACAGGTGACTCATCGTAACAATGTTTTTTATTCACCTACTACAATAGGATTAGTACTACAGTCATAAATCACATGATATTGGTAATATAAACTGTGTTTCCACGGAGGGAAATAGCCAGCGTTAAGTTAGCTTTCGTATGTTTCCACCAGGCAAATTGCAGAACCGTTACGGTTCGGAAACCGAAAACCTCTCTTTTTGCATTTGTCTATTTATCAATGTCCAACTGAAAGCTAGCTTAATCTCGTTAAGCAATAGGGGGCATACTGGTCTTTCCGGTCTATTGCATTTCTTACTAGTTTAAACAGTAGTCTTGTACATCAAGAGTTGTCAATAATTGGTGACTTTGTGATAGAGGCTAAAGTCGTTCAAGAACCAGTTAAACTCATTGTAAAGCTAAGAGCTAGCTTTACTTTACAAGTTTCAGTGGAAACGTGATTACACATTTGCAGCTCCTAATACCAGGGTTGTAACAACATCAAGACAAATGAGGTAAATGCATTATGCAAATTTGACTAAAAGAAAAAAGAGCTATATAAAAGGTTTTTTTTTTTAAATGTTGAAAAACATGATTTTTGTCTTAGAAAAAGACACAAGTTATGACCCTTAATAGATTGGGCCTCAATCCAAATGAAACTACCTAATATATACTGGTATACCTGGTATAATGTTGTGTTTGCTTATCGCTTCACTAACAACTGGTACGGTCTAAATCCTGAACGCAGGTTTTTGCGAGACAGAGTCTATTTAGCATCGAAAACTAGGGTATGACATGAATTTTGTCCAATCAATGCCAAGAGACAATAGTTCCAACGCGTTCTCTCCGTGCAAAGCCTTAGATGGAGTGGCGAAACAGTTTATTCACCACTTTTTTGAGCCAGTCCAACCATATAAGAGTGTCTGTTTCTCCATCAGCAGACAAATATTTTTTCTTTCAACTCAAAATATAAAATAACTATTTGGATTAATCAGTGAAAATTAATTCTGGGAGAAAAATTCATACGTCTGAAATTCTGACCACAACCAGACCTTAGTTAGTATTTGTTCGGAAACTGTAAAGTTTTTCTAAAAGAGTCCCAGGGTAGAACAGTTCTGAAGAAATGAGTCATCAAGGACAACATTAGTTTCAACTCTTTTCTACGTTAGACATTATTAACGCTAATTTATTCCACCATTTTTTATTGTCAAAATGTCCGCGGAGAGGTTTTCATTTACTTGACAGATCCCCTACAAATCTTCCAATATGACAATGACAAAGGGTAGTGTGATGTTATTTGCATTGATTAAAACCAAAAATGGCTTCCTGTAGAAGCAGAAATGTCATAAATTTTCCTTTTCTTCTTTCACAAGATTGATTTAAACCTCGTAAATCTTTTTTCAAGAAAACATAAAGAATCAATTTTTGGAAATGATTTTCGTATTTATTCAAATACTGGATCTCATAACTGGAACAATTTTTAACATTTCATGCTTAAAAGTCTACAATGCATAGTCTAGAAATTTGAGCAGGTAAGAAATATGATACATTAGACTAAATAATAGGAAACTGAAACAAGTTAAATTAAGCAGTTTGGTATCAACGTTTTCAAGTCAAAGAGCCCTTTTTGTGATCATATATTTTTTTGGATAAGCCAATATCAAAATCTAAGATTACTACAAAATCGCAAGAATATTATATTTTCTGGCTATCCCAGGATTATTGAGATTGGTTTATATATAAAGCTAATCATAAATTCTAGACCAAACAGGTAATTGAACCCTGAGCATTGTAAATCAATATCAAAAGAAAAGATTAAAGTCTAAAACAATTTTGAAGATTGGTTCGAACACTGAATCAACAGATATGACCCACTAAGATTTGATGAAGGAATCTTGCAATCATTGTGAAATATAGTATTTTTTTCTTTGATACCGATTTCTAGGCTACAACCAATCAACCATTAAAGCACATCAATAAATCACCTGAATCATACCAATCGTCATGGTGATATGTCATCATAAATAATGTCCGAACAAAGTAGTTACACAAATTTTAGACTTGATGGCACCAAATCATGAGATCTTGATGTCAATGAACAGAATCGTAAATCAAAGAGTCAGAAGAAGCTAGATTGTCTGGTGATGAAATTGAAAACATTTTCAGAAAGAGGAAGGAAAGATCTTAAGATCAACCAATACTGAACCTCATTCCTACAGGCAGTACCAGTACAGACGCCAGGCAGTACGAGTACAGGCGCTAGGCAGTACCAGTACAGCCGCCAGGATGTACCAGTACAGGTGCCAAGCAGTACCAGTACCAGCGCCAGGCAGTACCAGTACAGACGCTAGGCAGTATCAGTACAGACGCTAGGCAGTACCGATACAGGCACCAAGCAGTATCAGTACAGGCTCCAGGCAGTATCAGTACAGACGCTAGGCAGTATCAGTACAGACGCTATGCAGTACCAATACAGGCACCAAGCAGTACCAGTACAGACGCTAGGCAGTACCGATACAGGCACCAAGCAGTACCAGTACAGACGCTAGGCAGTATCAGTAAAGACGCTAGGCAGTACCAGTACAGACGCTAGGCAGTATCAGTACAGATGTCAGGCAGTACCAGTACAGACGCCAGGCAGTACCAGTACAGGAGCCAGGCAGTACCGATACAGGCACCAAGCAGTATCAGTACAGGTACCAAGCAGTATCAGTACAGGTACCAAGCAGTACCAGTACAGGCACCAGGCAGTACCAAGACAGGCACCAGGCAGTACCACTACAGACACCAGGAAGTACCAGTACTGGAGCGAGGCAATATCAGTACAGGCGCCAGGCAGTACCAGTACAGGAGCCAGGCAATATCAGTACAGGCGCCAGGCAGTACCAGTACAGGTGCCAAGCAGTACCAATGCAAGGCAGTACCAGTACAGATGCCAAGCAGTACTAGTACAGGCGCCAGGCAGTACCAGTGCAGTACAGGAGCCTGACAGTACCAGAACCAGTACAGGCGCAAGGCAGTACCAGTACAGGTGCCAAGCAGTACCAGTATCAGACAACTGCTAACCTACATTTGAATAATAATGGTACCTAAGAGATGTATCATATCAATCATTGTTAGTCTGGAACCTCAGACAAAATGGTATATGATTCTTCAAGTTGTAATTCCATGATGTAATGGCAGCAGGAAAAGACCTATATTTTAACAATATCGGTACCAAGGAATGGAATGTAAGATCAGACAATGCTAATATTGAATTTCAGACCTTAAGATTTATTTCTAAGATTTCTGGCGTCATAAAAAGTTATTCCAGACAACTCTCAGACCTATAATTGAATTAAATGGTACCATGGAATGGAATATAAGATCAGACAATGCTAATAAGGAATCTCAGACCTTGAAACTAAGTTCCAAGACATTCTGGTGCCATGAAGAGAGTTTGCAGACAACTCCCAGACCTATATTTGAATTAAATGGTACCAAGGAATGGATCATACTATTAAATGCAAATACAGACTTGCAGACCTTCAGTTTCATTTCCAAGACTTACAGTACCATAAAAAGTTATTCCAGACAACTGCTAACCTACATTTCAACATTAATGGTACCAAGGAATGGAATATGGGATTAGACAAAGCTACTACTGAGATTTATTCAGGCACCATAAAAAGAAATTCCAGAAAATTATCAGACCTATATTTCAACAATAATGGTACCTAGGAATGGATTATAAAATCAGTCAATGCTAATTCTGACTCCTATATTTCAAAACAAAGGATCAAAAGATCTTCAATGATAATTCAGACCTTGAGATTTATTTCCAAGACTTTCAGGCACCATGAAGAGAGTTCCAGACAGCTGCCAGACCTGTATTTGAATAGAGACGTTACCATGGGAATGTATCATGATATCAAATTGTTCCCCACAGTACCATTATGTAAATATAATCTAATTGTCAACTTCTCGCGACTAAATTAAATCAAATCAGTGCATACATGAATAAAAATATTGTTATTTCTTGATCTGGTTTTTTAGTTGCACATATTTGACATAGATTTCAGTAGGTGACTTTTCGTTTTTCAGCAAAAAAATGTAATTGTATGATCATTTTACATAATTTGTCAAAAGAAATTGAATATTTCGAACCTTTCATTTTTAACTAAAAATTCAATTCAGTGAAATTGAACACTGTCAAGAAATGTGCAAGAAGTCTACATTATTTGACATTGTTTCCAAGAAATTGCAAGAAATCATGAAAAGATCACAAAATCAAGCTATCTTTTAATGGAACCTTCTGCAGAAACAGCAAACAAGTGTTAGTCAATTTCCCTACTTCCAAGTCACTGGCATACAACTTCTGAACTAAATCATATTCATTTCAACTTTTCATTTAAAACACAAGCAGTGAAAATACACAACCAAAAAACCTACATGTATTTATTAAAGTAAAGTTCATATCTTGATGGAATCAAACTAGCATGTCAGCTGTCAAATGGAGTCTATGAATCAAAACTATTTATAGTAACTGATGTCATCTCCAATATCCAGAAATTTACAAAATCAGCATGGAACATCACTTTCATTTCCTGTTTATGCAAACTGAGAGAAAAATGATTCAAAGAAATAGATGAAAAAACCAAAATAAATCTGTCAAGATCAATATAAAAGAACTTCCTAATACTTGATACTTCCTAAACTATCAACTGTATGAGGGTATTGTATAAATAGTTTTTATTTAGACTGCTGTAACTTCAGCCCTTATGATTCTCTTTAATTGAAGACAAACCCAATGTTTGATTTTCGTTATAAAACACACTGCAGCTGAATGGAGCTTAATCTGCCTAAAACGCATATATTTGGAAGACCGCACCCCTAACATGACTGTTTCAAATCTATAGATGGCTGTAGACCTTCTAGACCTATATCAAATACCTCCCCCTCCCCCTCCCCCATTCAACTGGTGCAGTGTAAAAAGTGTGGAGAGTTAGATTCATTCATGAACAATAAACATTCCCCTGAAATCTTTATCTCAATATCATTGTGGTCTGAAGCTCTGATTAAGATATTGGTTGTCTCCCATTAGTCTTAAGATTTTGATCAACAAGCAAATGTTATTATCTCTTACCAATGAAAATAAAGTTGGCAGGTAGTGTAAATTTTTCGACAGTACCCAGATGTGTATCAATATGTTTACAACAAACTAAATTGCAAACATTTCCTTTAAATGCTGAAAATGGCATGAAGAAAACAAAATTGAATTGAACCTGTATCTGGACAGTTAATGCAGAGCTCGTGTGACAGTGTGGTTTATTTGACTGTCCCTTTAAACAGTTGTTTTTTATACTTCACTGCACCAGCCAATCACCTATAAATACCCCTTTGGTTTGTTCTATTTATATCTTGGGATTCACCATTCTGTCTGTCTTGTGGGGTGAGCTGTTTTCATCCTCACCCTAGCTACTGTGTGTATTAGATACCACACTTTCATCATTCACCAAATCTAGTCATTCAGTCAGCTATCTAATTAATTCTACATTATTCAGTGAAAGGTATGTGTTTTTCTCTTCTCTTCTTAATGGGTTATTGTCAAGGGTTTTACCAATTTTAGTAAGAATGGGTGTAAATGGTTTATTTTAAATATATTTCAGCAATGCAATATTTAAACTTGGAACTTGGTAATTTATTATATAAGTTAATATAGTCATAACTATCCTGTTTTTATAGGGATGTTTATTATATATATATAATGCACTTTTCAGCCTGTGTATATTACGTAGTTTAGTTTATAAGATATAGTTTACAGATATACATTTAACCCCACTTCAGGTAGGTTATTCAACAGTTTATTATAAGTACATTTAATATAGTAATATTAAATAAGATAATCAATTAGCATGTGTTATAAGGAAAAGAGTATTTTATTGTTTATATTGTGTATATTCTTTTATGATTGTATATTAATTGTTTGTACTGTTTTACAGGGTTTTTTAGTTATATAATAAATTTGGAACGAGAACCCAAGCCTAATTTTTGGTTGAAGGGGAGAACCCCTTGCACCCAGGGACCGGCTACACTCGGTTTACAAAGCTTTTCCAAATTGATGTAAAAAAAAGACAAAAAAGTTACTTACTGACTGCTTCGATGACGTCTGCCAGTAGAACACCATCACTAATGTCCTGTTGTAAATCTGATATAAACTTTTTATTCCGCGATTTCTCTAAATAGTGGTTCGCCCAGTCTGTATAGATCTGTAATGATAAAATATGGAAATGTTAGAAAATATTTCTGATGTTCGTTGATGCCAGTGCTGTTGAGAAGAGTACAGAGCAAAGTGACTCGAAGAGGGCAAGTTTCTCTGATATATGTGATAATATGTCTTAAGTAATGTTTTCAATTAATGAAAACACAACCCTGATAGTAGTTTGATTAAAACATTCAAAAATATTTCTAAGAAATGTGAGTGATCAAAGAGAACAGACATCTTGCAACTAGCAGCCATTTTTCGAAACGTATTCTCGAAACGATCTTAGTGCTAGGATATCCAAGGTTCTTATCTTCTAACATTGATTTCAGGACATCCTAGCGCTAAGATCGTTTCGAGAATACATGGCCAGGTTTTTGGGATACAAGCTATTTTTCAATATGATATGGGACTGCAATTTAACACACTTTATCTGTGATATGTAAAAAAATCAAGTATGATTGAAACATTTTCCATGAATTCAAAGATGTCAAAGTTGAATAATATTTTGAAATATGTCACAGGAATAAACGATAGCTTGGCAAGCAAGGTAACATACACCCACAGCAGCAAATATGTCAATGTTATACTTAGTTTACAGAGACCTATATCTGACAAACTAAACTTCAAAATACAGAGATATTTGATACAGCAAGAAAGATAGCTTGCCAGTTAAGGTGACATACGCCAATGGCAGCCATCAAGGATCACTCCATTGTTCGTGTTTTTTTGGTATAGTCAAAAAAATAAACTCCTTGGCAACTGTATCTTTTTTTATGGCAAACAAGCCATTTGTATTGGAAATCATACGCTTTATAGCAGTAATAGTAGAATGTTGGTGGATAGACAGGGGGACTATATAAATATCAAAACACTGTATTTTAACTACAGAAAGTTTTGTAAGTTTGTTATTTAGCCTACCTTAGATTTAAATTTATCATTAAACATATCATGAAATTTATCCTGAGTCATTTCGTCCACCTCAGTAGGGGAGAGTGGGGCAGGTTTTCTACCTCCAAGACAGTTCCACATTCTATCAAATATATCCTAAACTTTAGATGGTAATCCACTATAATAGGAATCTTTATTTGACAACGTTAATCAGATTTCATACTTGCAATTCAGTTCCACATGATTTTATATATATATATATATATATCCAACACAGAAGGTAATCATGTCACAGGATGTAATCTGTTGAAACCTTGTGTTCATATATTTTACATTTGACCAAGTTGGGTAAGAATATGACTTCTAAGACAGTTCCACATTATATTATATATATTCTATAGTTTATTAGGTTAATAGTATCCTACACTAATTCAATAGGCTCTGAACAGTTAATCCGTAATCTGTAACGGTTAATACAATTAGTCACTCAAATCACAAGTAAAATCCTGTATCACCAGCTGTTGCACTGAAGTAATTTAACCTCGAAAAAATCCGGAAAAACACTGAAAATCAGAACAGGTACTTTATCCAAGCCATACAAGAGGGTGTAAATATCATAACTAAAAAATGAACAAAAATCCAATTTCTCACCAAATACTATGTGAACTATATCAATGACAAATCCAATGCTTTACTATCTAAGAATTACACAGAAATAAGTCCTCAAATAGTAGACCAAATTTCATAAATGTAGCCAACCTAGTGCTTGTAATTTTGTGTCACAACACATATATTCTTTTAGCAAATCACAACTGTACTATCAAATAATATGATTCCAATAAAACCTTTAGTTGTTGGCTTAGGCAAATTATCATAAAGTTAGCCAGCCTAGAGGCTGTAATGCTATTACAAAACACAAATCCAGTTATCCAACAGCTAAACCTTGGTCGTAAGATTCAAAAAGATAATGAACATCTAAGGTAAAGTTTTTTTGAACAGATGCTGATCATCAAAACTACACCAGTATCATTAAAAAATAAAACAACAATTAAACCTAAATAGCAGACTTGACCAAGGTATCATAAAGCATGATTGTATCTATTATTAATTACATTAACAAAGGAATCCTGGAAAATCCCTTTATTTTCTCATTAACCTTATTAACCTGACAGGTACTGGTTGATTCTAATTCTTTATTAACACACAATAACCACCTTTACACTGAGAATTGTAAAGTAAACCTAGCTCTAAGCTAGCTTAAAGCCAGCTTTATTGCCGAACGTGTTGCCTTTTCACTGAATGTAACTGATTCCTGAACGACTTTAGCCTCGATCACAAAGTCGCACATTATTGACAACTCATGATGTACAAGACTACTGTTTAGAGCGCAGAGACCTGTACGCCCCCCTTTTGCCGAACGAGATAAAGCTGGCTTTTTTTTCTGGTTAAGTGAAAGTCGGTTTTAGGCTACCTTTCAGTTGGCCATCGATAAATTGCTGAACGCAAAAAGAGAGGCTTTTGGTTTCCGAACCATAAAGGTTCGGCAATTAGCCCAGTCGAAACACATGAATGCTAGCTTAAAGACGGGTTTTTCCCTCACACAGTTTATATATATTGATCTATGACAGGGTCAGGTCTGATATATAAATCTTTTATCTATATCAGAAAACATTCATCAAAACACAAGACAATATTATGGAATATAACACACTTCTTTAATAAGGTTAGGCACATAATGTTTCAACACAATATACACGTGTCGTCATCAGATGTAATAGGAAGAGAATAAAACATAACAAAATATATAACAACAAGAAACCATCTAGAGATTAATAAAGACATCTACCCATGTAAAGATGTCTAAATATTATTATTTGAGGATAAGTGAATGGATATGAAGTTGATAAACCCTCATACAACATTGCATACTGCACCCTTTACAAACCCAGACACCAATTGAAAGATTATAAACTGTGTGACCCCTTCAAAAGGTATACAGAGTTGACAATCCCTAACTCCATACAAGTATTACTGGCTATGTGCACACTCCAAAAGGTTCACTGTATCAATAAATACTGAGTAAGCATATCCAGCACAATATACCACAAAATATTTTCCTATTTCAGATTGACACAAAATGACAATTTGAATGAAACAAAAGACATAAAAACATCCTTAAAAACATGTAAAACCTCAAAACAAAATCCTGAAACCAAATTCAATCTATAACTTTTTCCAGAAAATTCGTCGAAAACTTTCCAATATGTCACATGAAAGCCTGACCAATGCTTAGTTTCTGGACAAAAATTCAATATATCATGACCATGAAAATCTTGAGCGAGCCAAACTGAAAGTAGATCACTACATTTTATCAACATCCACATGTAAAACCTGAAAACAAGATCCTGAAAGCACACTTCAATAATGGAATCAATACCCTACACACCTGTACAGTACTAGCAAGACTTAGTAATTACAACCTGCAGAGTTCCTTAATATCAGTCCTTAAAAGGTTTGATAAATCAATTCCCTATTCAGAAACTCTTTTTTTTCTCAGGAACAAAAATCAATACTTGAATACTTGTTATAATTCATAGAATTCATCACATTCTTTGGTTCTTTCTGCTGTCATTAGGAATTGTTTTTTTCCACAAAACAAACCAAATAACAAGATAAAATTGATCATTATCAATCAATATTCTTAATCAAAATTAAAATCTTTTCTTAACAAAACTATAATTCATAGAGAAACCATTATTTCAAATAATAGAAAGAAAACTTGGAGCTTTATTCTTGAAATCTTAACTTCAGGGTCAGGGCTGGGCTAGAAGAATGAGAACAAATTTGGTCATGAACAATTACTAATTAATATTCTTAAAATAGTGTCATGACAAACAATCAAATTTATTGAGAAACCATTAGTTCAAATAACAGAAGAAAACCTGGGCTTTATTATCGAAATCTTAAACTCAAATAAAATTTAACTTTATAAAATACTTTCATAATATTTGTTAATAAGACTAACTTTCAAATCAATATCAATGATTGAGGAATCAAATGAAGACATTGTTAAATCAACAGTTAAGTGATTGTGAATAAGACACTGAAATACTCTTTCATTGAAAATTCAGAAATCACAGAGGAAGAAAGTGAAGAAACTAACAAATACTGTGAATTACAGATGCAAAATCATGAGCATAAAGCTTTCAAAATAGAGAAGCAAAAAGTCGAATCCTAAAATAAGAATTATTATAATAATTGACACTGTGTGGTTTAAACACAAACAATTTTATACAAAATATCAGAATATCTTCTATTACTGATTATTCAAAAGACGTCCTAAAAATCCAAATCTATCCATATATAGAAAATATGTCACTTCAAACATAATATTCACACTAGTTAATTGAAATTTGATTGAAAATCAAACACTGTTTGCTCAAAATACATTTAAAAATGAAAATCCAACATTATACATCTGAAATATATCACTACAAACATAATATTAACAGCAGGTAATAATGTAAATTGAGAACAAGATGAAATGACATACAGTTTTTAATCAACACATGTTACTTCTCTTTATTTTAAATTACACTTTAAATTTAAATATGAATTGTTCTGTCATTTATCTGATGTCTATAAACTGTACATCAATAACCTGAATGACAAAGAGAAGAAAAACTTGTACCTATCTTAACTTCAATCTAGAAACTTAGACTACAAGCTGACAAAATGAGATAGACATAAAAAAATTTAACAGATATCCTGGCCACATATCCTCGAACAATTTTAGCGATATTCCCAATAAAAAAAATATCATCAGGAACTCCCTTTAATAATAAAATATACGATTTCTGATTGAATCAATACTTTAAATATAGGAAAATCCAGGGTTTTGTAAGGTTCGTTTTAAATCTCAAATTTTTTTTTTTTCACCTGCCTTTACATATTTTCAAGAATGCAATGCATTTACCTAACTTATAATAGTTATATTCATGCACTATTCTCCTTTGTTGACAAATTCAAATATGATTTAACCTTTGACAGTAATCATACACCATGTAACTTGAACTTACAGGTCTAATCTTTTGCTCCTTAAAGATTTGCTTGCTTGCTTTTCAAATTTGTGAAAACTACATGATAAAATTTAGAGAAATGTGCCCCTTAACATATTTGAAAGTTTTAACTAAAAAAATCAAGACATTAACGCAAAAAACTATTTTTAAGATTTCAGATCCTTGTGCTTTTTGGAAGCTGTTAGAATGGAATGAATGCATATATGTAAACTCCTAATTGTAGGGAAATATGACTCCTACCTATTGTAAATGTTTCAACTAATAATATTGAGCTATTATAAAGAATAACACCAAAACTAGGTCAAACTGCTTTATTAGTACTCTCCCTTTTTAATTAACCCTTTTAAAACAAATTCAGTTTGATCAAGAAGATAAAAAGATGTAAATGGCATACTTTAGAAATATTTTCAGGTTTAATCTATGTTTTTGATAGTGATAACATTTTACAAAAAAGCGGAATGTCCCTTTAACGTATTTAATGAGCGGAAGGAAGTGGAAATAGTTTGCGCATGGGCATATTTGACAAAGTTTATTCAGCCATTTTATGATTTCATATACCGGTATTTTTGTTTTTGATGAACAAAAAAAGCAGAAGGTAAGCTATTCCAACAATATTAGACATGTTTAATGACAAATGACAGCTAACAGGTCATCTAGTCACAGAGTAAATCACAACTATACTCAAAACTATTGCTTAAAACAGTTTAAAAGGCCATGGTTCACCTTTTTCAGGGGTTGATTTGGGTCTTGAATATATGTAAATAGTCTTTGGAAGTACTGGAAACGTACGGAAATCACATAATTCCTTTAAAAATAGTAGACATTTCACATTCTTTTTTTATATGTCTGAAGAAATGATGAGTCGTTATTTTAACTTTCAAATGTAGATAATTTTGAACGCATATGGATTTGAAGGCTCAACAGTTTTCGATGGTGGGCTGTGAACAGCTAAAAAATTTGATTAGAGCTTATTGTTATATCAACACAATTATCAAAACTATTGGTTTGGCAATGGATTCTCTGTACTTATAGAAACAATTATTTTATGTTTTCAGAGAAGGGTGTGTATCTAAGTGGCTGTGCAATTTCAATTGTTTATCTGCTAAAAACCACAGTGAAGAAACCAGAGAAAGCATTCAAGAAACCAGTGATGAGGCGAGAGATAAGAAATCTCAATATATTCCCGGAAGGGATTTCAAAGATCAAGTACCAGCAGATCTTCAAAATGAACAGTTCTGTCCAAATCCAAGACCATCTGAGACACTACAACACCAAAAGGTTCGCCAGACACTTCACTCCAAATGTGTAAAACCGAAGGTTTATCGGCAGAGGAAATAAATGAACTTTGCTCTTCACTGGGAGAAAGGTTCAAAGGCTGGAAGCAAAAAGATGAGATCAGAAGTGGATTAAAAGGTGGGTTTTACTTGATAGATGAAGATGGGGATGGGGATGGAGATGGAGATGGAGATGGAGATGGAGATGGAGATGGAGATGGAGATGAAGATGAAGATGGAGATGAAGATGAAGATGGAGATGAAGATGGAGATGAAGATGAAGATGAAATAAGGCATTGCACAGGTTTATTTGTCACTGAAACTAAAAATCATTATGAGTATTATGATTCTGGAGGTACACAACTTCCTGATATCCCAGATGTTCATGTTTTAAGTAATGATAAACAATATCAGCAAGAAGGTAACAATACATGTGGACTACATGCTGTGTATTGCCTCAGACAACGAAATGAGCTTGGAAGTATGAAGAAAGTACAGGAATCTTATCCGACTGACAAATTAGAATTTCTCAATCGAAATGAAGAGCATGTTCTTAAATATAGAATGCCAAAAATCTTACAAAGGCATTAACTCAAACGGCTGACTCCGATGTTGGAGATTAGTTTAATTTTCTAATTTGTGTTAAAAATGCCTTTTGAGAAAATACATACATGTTTCAATTTAGTTCTATGCTAACACACTGTATCATATATGTTAGAAATATTAAAACAGATCTAAACAGATCTTTAATCAGGTTGTTACTCAGAGTTTCACGCAGACAACTGACCTATTTTCAGCATGTGTCCCTACTGAAGTTGGACAAATAGAATTTGTTCTCATGTGTACACTTCGAGACATGTTCGAAACGTTTGTTCAAAGAAGTGTTCTTGGGGGCATTAATGATGGAAAGATTTTCAGTTAGACACAGGTTACATTGACTGGTTTTATTTGTGAAGGCTTTAGCTTTGCTATCAATGGATGAGGATATTTTGTAATTATCATTTTTTAGTTTAAGTTCCCAAATTTGCTTTAAAAGTTTGGTGCTATTTTCATATTTTGATGTTTAAACGACTGCATTTGGTTGTAAAATCTATGTTCAAACGTGTTTTCGGTCATTCATAGCATTAATAACATTTAAAAAGATAGTTTGCCAGGCAAGGTAACATACGTCCACTACAAGCTGTCAGAAATGATAACAAGTCTTTAGTAGCTTACTAATGAATTCTCAAATAATCTTACAAATATTTATTAGTCAAGTCAAAACCTCAAAAACTCATCCGATTATTACTGTTTTTCGAAACTTGAATGAGATCAATGTTTACATACATTAAGTCAAGGGCAATAACTCAGAAACACTTCATCCGATTATTACCAATTTCCAACTTGACTGAGATCTTATCAATATATACATGCATACCAAATGTCATTAAGATCAGTTAAAAAATGTAGCCTCTATCATGTCTGCAAGAAATCTGGACGGATGGACAATCATCATTTTATGAAGCCATATTAGATTCCAACCGCGAGAAGAAAATTGGAATATTACTTAGCAATTACCAAAGAAACTACTTCATTTCCAGTAGGCGTATGCAAGTAACTGAAGACTTAATTATAATTATATGTAATTAAAACAGTTAAATTATTCTATAGAAATAGTAAATAAGATAATCACACCTGTTATTCAAACATGACTCATTTCATAGTTTCAAATTTCCTTCAAATTTTAAATCAAATATCTAGCTGAATACAATACTATTATCAATCTTAGATTTGGAAAAAATGAATAACATTATTTTTGAGGAAATATAAATAAAAAATAAACGCCATTACCATCATCTCACCTACTTTGAAAAAGCAAAAATTCGAAAAAAGCAAAATATGATCCATTCCCTTGTTGAGAAGCTTCGAATTATCAATTTAATATTTGAATTATAAAACACAATGTAACATGATCATACGAACATTATGTCTGATATTAGCAATTCACCATTTTTAATATCATCTTAAAGGGGACAGATGACCAATTGTTTGACCAATCATACTATAGTCTAAGAAACCTGAATATCGAAGCTAAGTCAATCAGTAATAGAATTCACAGATCACCATCGAAAATTTTGAATCTTCAAATCCATGTGTGTCAAGAATTATCCGCGTTTGAATGTTAAAATGTCATTGACGACTCGTCAATTTAAGATACTCTGTGATAAATAGAAAAGATATATAGAAATAGTGAGTAAAACTTCCAGTTTGAATTATTTGTAAAGGAATTATGTGATTTTTGTACATTTCTAGTACTTCTGAAGACTATTTTACATATTCAAGACTAAATTCAACCCCCCAAAATGTTACACCTGTCCCTTTAATCGTTAATCACATACTTTCACACATAAGACTAATATCCAAAACACAATAATATGATCAAAAGACTTATGACTGATATTTTTAATTTACCCATTTCAATATCATCTACATGGTTGTATTACATACTTCCACACACAAGATTAATAGCCAAAACACAATATGATCATAAAAACAAGACCAATCAGTCCTTGAAATTGAGATAATATTAATTTCTCTAAAAGTAGTATTCTTTTTTCATGTTTGAATTTGACAAAGATGACATGAGTTGGTCTTAAATAATATCCAAAACACAAACATTAGATCAACTAGTCATTCCTATAAATTGGTGTATACATTCATTTGCTAATTTACTATTTACCATATTCTAATTTGACAATGCCTACTTAGTCACAAAAATAGTTAGATGTTGATGGAAACATAGTCTCATAAAAGCACTGGCCTAGGTCACAAATAAGTTGTAGCCTATAACATTATACTGAGAATAAAATCTAAAGCACAGTTTCATGATCAGAATCATTGCAACAGAATAATATAACATTCCTTGTAACTAGGTATGTCATACATGACTGGTTTTATTTCTATATTACATATAAATACTGTGGTCACAGCTGGTGGAATATCAGGGATGATGATACCATCATTTAAGCCAGTCATATCATGATAGAAGCATCAAAATATTCAAGTGTTGAGTCCATGGTTGTTAACTCATGGGTTTTGTCAATAAAACTGGTCAATTTTGATCAGTACAGGTGATAATATGATTTAACAAGTGATGTTGAAAGATTGTAAAGAAGTTTTCTAAAGTTTTTATGTGTATTGGGAACACTGATAGCATCAATTTGGAACATTTTAATTTTCAATCATTCCAATTTTTAATCAGATGTCTGTGGTTTCTGCAATTTCACTCAAACTAAGTGTTTGATGATAGAAAATAGAAATGGTGTAATCAGTGTTCCCAATACACATACAAATTTAGAAAACCTCTTTACAATCTCTTTACAAGTTACATTCTGTCTTGGATGAGCTGAAAGTTGACAATATTTTAACAAAGGGTATATGAGTAACTGCTTATGCATTGTCAAAATCTGTCAAAATGTGTTCTGACTGTAAAATGAATCATGTCTGATTATTGTAGCAGGTGATAATGACACTAATAATCACTGATATTGAAATGTTTGATATCACATCTGAATGAAATGATAGCTACACTAATAAAATCTCACAATCTCCATCTTGAGATAAATCTCAATCAACCAAGCAACCAAAATATTAATAATTTCCATTAAAACACAGCACAAAGGAATACACCAAGATCTCCAATCTTCCACACAAATGAATCTGACCAATTTGACCAGACTGAGTTAATATTTATTTCAAATTGATTAAGAAATGTCCACAAAAACCAGAATATTGAAGTTATATTCAATAAGTAAAATCGTATCAAATCAACCAAGAAAAGTTAAAGATGCAAACTATGGAAATTAAGTAGAAATTTTTGAAAAAGTTACGAGTCAATATTTACATTTATATTAGTATCCAAGATCCAAGATTTAGAGATGATGCAAGCGAAGCAGACCATGCTTACTCTTTTCGAAACACCTGATGGTACTTCTCTTTGGAGGATCCAACAACTATATTACCATTGCCCCCTATTTTGCCATAATTTGGATGAGATTTTTGATTGACAGAATAAATTGTCTTGATTGTACGTATTTTTACTTAAAATATATGATTAATGCAGCACACAATATTCAAAAGTTGAATTTTTAAAGGAAAACCATGGAAATTTCTTTTCCATCAAAAAGCTATGACGTCCTCTCACCTCACACTCAGATAAAAACTACACCAAAAAATATGAAACAATATTTTACACTTAGCACAAACAAAAATTCAAATAGTCACATTCAAAAGAAAAATCTCATCTGAGCTACTCAAACTCTTTCACAAAACATGAACATAAGAACTGAAAAAGTAAATTTTTAAGAAAATTTTGACTTCAGAAATTTTACACAAATCTTTTTTTGTTTCTAAAAGAGACAATACTATCAGCACTGTACTAAATTCATGACTTCTAAACAACAAAAGAATTCTCAGAAAGTTATAAATTTAGATAGCTATTACAAAAATTGGTACAAGATATGCACTCATTGTTCAGATATTGCTGAAAAACTGTCTATTGTTGATTCCTTGTGATACATTGTACAACATTGTTCTTGGTAATTCAGAACTTTATCTGATGAAGATTCCAACTAAATCAGAACAATCTCAGTTTCAGAATTAATGGTGGAAGTATCAGTTCCAAAATCTCAGATCTGCTATCATGTGCAAGATTTTACCAATACTTAAGAATAATTGTTATATTGGATTCCTGTAGATTACTATAGTAACAAGATAATTATTGTTTGTAGTATGCAATTAGAAGCAAAGTGGTGGAGCTAAAATTGTAGAAAGAAAGTAACAAAAACAGATGTAAGCTTTCATTCTGTACTGTTTGTACTGGATGAGACAATTAAAAGAAAGCTGTAAGCTTAAAGTCAATCTAATGTGCCCAAAAAAGTTGTATTCCTAAGGTTGTAAGAATGGCATCAAGAATGTTATTGAATTCACCAAGATAGTTGCATCCAGAATTTGGCTTTGAGTTCTGATCAGAAACTAACAGTAGTGCTGTCACCTTGGAAACATTCTGGTTGCATCTATGATCATTGTATCAGGCTGATTACAAGCATGACACCAAAAAGTCCCTTCTCACCAGTACAGATGTACCTGTAATGCACTATTAAAAACTCATGTTTATTAACCTAAAAAGATTTAGGTTGCAAAAAAAAAATAAATCCAAACATTGGCATTCTATATAAACGACTAGGATGTTGAACTCCATTCCACTTCATTTTAAACCTTCACATCTCCCCAGTTGCACACACCACTTCACAGAAAAAAAATCCATACAAATCCTACACAGAATTCAGATACAATCCAGTTAGTTTGAAGTTCAATTATATACGCCAACTGATAGTGATATATAAACTCCCTCTCCATTCTCCAGATTTAAACAATATCCATTCACCATTTACTAGTTATATATACATAGTTAAACTAATGATTTTAGAATCAAGCCAAAGCTTATATTAATCTGTCACCAATTCTCCTCTCTCTAACTCATTGAGGTGTAAAAAGCATTTGTGGACAAGGAATATAAACGTGGATATATCAATCTACGATGGTTAATTATT